CATGCTTGCTTAGAATACATTATACATATTAAAATGAAAATAAGTAACAACTGTAAATATTTCCGTTAAACATTCAATGTATGAATATTATATGGTGTATGCCTTATGATATAGACAATTATGATTTTAGAGAAGAGAATCCTTCTCACCACCGTAGATGAAGAATCTGGGTGTAGTGCATTGTAGTATACGTGTATAAAAAACGTTTGATAAATGCCTATCAAAAAACAAAAAACAGTCAGAAGGTGAAGGTCCATGACTAATAAAATTAATTTTATTAACCAAATTAACTTTAATATTGAATTGCGTGTTAGCTGTTAAATAACTATAACTTAGTTGTTCAGGAAATATAATTTTTGAAGTACACAAATATACTATAGTAAGAAAGAAAGAGGGACCTAATTCATTTGATTTTTATGTGACATTAATTGTTACAATAAATATTGTAACCTAACCTTCATGCATCAGCAATGAAATTTAAAAAGAGGGAAGGCAATTTTACGTTTTTACATTATATAAATTTAATAAAATTATCGTTTTTAAATTATAATAAAATAACGAATATTATTTTAATTCGTTGCTCAAATTGTTTAAACTTCATTAATTGTCTATATAAGAAATAATTAAGTTTATACATTTTTTAGTTCCCGTTTTAACACTACTTTAGAGAAATATTTCATTAAATTTCAAACCTTAGCTATAACAATTGAAAATTTTCTAAACTTTTTACTTCAAAAAACTTGTAGTTGGCAATTTTTGTGATTTTGATGAATTTTGTAAAAAATTGAACTTCAAATATATACATATAAAAAATATTATGACTAAATATTTTTTTATAATTTTATGAAGATAAAAAGTTCAACTTAAATAAGATCTTGCATTAATTTTTCAAAAACTTTTTTGACTCAGTGAATGATTTTTATTGATATTTATAGAAATAAAACTAAAAAATTATCGAGTTACCAACATTTTCTCGTGTTTATAAATAATTTAAACTAAGTCGAAATATTTTGAAAATCATAATATGCTCAGAAAAGGCCAATTAAAACATTTGATGAATATTCTAAGTGTTTATAGTAATTTGTACACGAATTAACAATAAAAAACACATAAAACGTTTTAGGAGAAATAGTTATTAATAATAATATACGGAATGAAGGAAACTATTTAATAAGGGGTAAAGGGGTAATATTTAGGCAATTTATACACTAGTTGTCGTGTACGTATGTGGATTGTGTAAGTAATGTTCTATGAGTCATGGGGCTTTCTACGCACAGACACGCACATGTAAACGCTACTCACCATTCAGAAAAAAACTACTAATTTTATTTTATGTCCATAACACGTTACCCAAAAAACTCATGCCTCGAAAATTGATCTTTTAATAATTTTTTTTTTCGAAAGTTGAAGATTTTTTATAAAGCGCGTTGGATTATTTGATTACATTGCTAAAAACAAAAATAACAGATATATGAAAAACTTTTAAAAATTGATAAAATTCGCTTTTATTTTAGGATTTAAATGCATAATTTTTAAAAACTAAGTTCAATGTGCCATGTAAATGTCTTTCTTTTTCAAAAAAAAAAAATGATCAAAGTCCTATAATCACTATTGCAGTATCATATTTAATATTAATTTTTTATTTTGAATTTACGTTATATATTATACATACATACTTATATAATAATCTCAGCAGAAGAGAAAAAATTCTTATAAATCGTCTCCGAATAGGTCACACAAGCATGGGCGTCCCCAGGGGGGGCAAGACGGGGCACTTGCCCCCCCTGGAATAACGTTATTTCCACAGAAATTGGTAAAATTCCAAATGATAAATTAGTTTCTAAAAATAGGTCTACTAAGTTTCCATAACATATTATGTCAACGCACGGCTGACGGCTATCTATGAAAACTATCATTAATATTTAATAATAATCGGACTATTTTATCTTCACCCCAACATTTTTAAAAAATCGGAGAAAAAAATGTATTTTGAAAGTATTGAAAAAATTGCTGATTTCTATAAAATTGATAATCTCCAAGCTGAAGCGGAAAGTTGGTACAGTTTTTGGCAAAATAAGGACTGCCAAGATATTGATTTTATCGATTTGTTAAATTGTAACTGTACGTTTTTTCCAAATATAGCTGTTGCTTTGGAAATATTTTTGTCTCTTCCGGCTACAAGCTGTACAGCAGAACGTTCTTTGAGTACATTAAGGCGTGTTAAAACATGGTTACGATCAACGATGGGTGATGATAGACTAAATGGAATATGCATGTTGAGTGTTCATAGAGAAAAAGTAAATTCAAATAAAGAAAAATTTATTGAAAATGCACTGACACAATTTGGTAGAGAATGTCCACGGAGATTGAAATTTATATTTAATGAAAAAGAATGATGTATAATAATATTTTTTAATGTTTTAATTGTAATAATAATACCTACCTAATTGTAATGTTTTAATTCATAATTTTAATAATGATGAAATATAATAATTTACTATAAATAAAATGTATAAAAAAATTTTCATTTATTTTTTAAATTAATTTTGCCCTCCCCCTAGAAAAATGTCTGGGGACGCCCATGCACACAAGACTGACTCACAAACACCTCATGACCAAAGAAGAACCAACTCTATGTACAGTCTGCAGGGTTACACTAACAGTGAAGCACATAATAACAGAGTATTATCAATACTCCGAAGATTTAAAAAAATACAACATCCCACCCAACTTGTATGAAGCTCTAGGACCAAATAGCGAAAACATATCGAACATTTAACCTTCCTCAAAAAATCCGATTTATACACTAAAATTTAAACCTACTCAGGCACGTATACAAAATACAATTTCTGGGGGGGGGGCTTACAAAATATAGTTATACAAATTGTACCGCAACATAATAAAACAATTTCTTCCTCATTACTCATTATTTTTTAATATGACAATTATTATGCTAAGTATCCAAATTTTATGTATGTCATTTGTTCAGAAGTAAGTTTATAAGAACAATTATATTATAATAATAATAAATAAAACTTTAAATGTTATAAACAGAACAAACATTTATTTTATTAGTACCTATGCACATAAAATTACCTAAGTATATTATACTATTAAGTACTTAGATAGAAGAAAAAAAATCAAACAATTTATATATAATACATTAAAAAATTACAAATTAAAGTATAAAATCCCATTTTTGTGGTAACTTAACAAATCTATCGATAATTTTCACCACATTTAAATCAAAATGTCGGTATATGTTTAGTAGTGCCAATCCAACAAGTATAATTTCTCTTATATTGTTTCGTAAAAACGTTTTAAGTCTTCGTAGAGTTGAGAATGACCGTTCACAGTAACAGTTGTAACAGATAATGTGGCTAAAATGTATCTTACAGTATTGATTTAATAATACATAAATTATCAATTTAATAGGAATTTTTAGTCTTCGATTGAGATATAAGAAAAGATTATTGACAAAATGTGAGTTTTCTAGGTATATAAAGGCTTATATCGCAATGTTCAGTTCTCACACATGAGTAATTCTCAGTAATCAGTTATCACTTCATTCGACTATAATACTAGATTATAAACTTGTATTTCATACCCCACTAATATAAACAAAAGAAAATTAACCAATAGCTAGTAATAAAAATATTTTATAATAATAGGTGTATAATTTGACTTAATTTTTAAAGAAATTATTTGGTAGGGGGGGGGTTGAACCCCCCCTGTATATGTGCCTGAACCTACTGTTAAAGAAAATTGTAATATAAATTAAATAGTAATCATATATAATTAACACCATATTAAAATTGTAATTTTTAACCAACTACTATGTAATTTAATACAAAAAACTAATAACCTTTGTCGTTGATGTTTTTAAGTTTAATAAAAAAAAAAAAAAAATACCTATATAATATTTTCAACATTCGACTATTTTCAATAATGAAAGTAGCTGTATGTACTGTACTGTTATGTTAACGGTCTGTTATAGGTATCTAAGTACCGCAAGTATTTATAGACTATAATTATACACTTATACCTAGATTTTGGGATTTTGTATTATCTATATCTCAAAATATTAAACCATAACCATATTTTGTTATTGAATTAAAATAAATTTAACTGAGTATTGTACAATAATTACAATAATTAATATGCAATTTATGAATTACAATATTTTATTTCATGTTTAAACACCCCAATTTTTGTTTCATAATATTAATTCAATTCAAATAAGTGTTGATTTACAGATAGTGTCATAAAACATTAAATTTGAATTGTTCTCATTCTTAGGTGAACAGACTCATTGATTACACCATGTCACCATCGTAATTGATTGTCACAGCTAAGGTGGCGGACAAGCGTGGCCAATATTTAAATATAGACGTGCACGTGGATTTAAACAACAAATTGTGTTCGCTAATTAAAGTAGCCACTCAACAAAACGTAAGATACTATACAGACCGTTAAACGTTCATTAAGTTATTAATGAATATCCCGACTCGCCAAAAGATGTTTCTGCGTTCTGCTACGATCGCATGCAAATATAATACGCAACATTATAATAATTTATGAGCGATCTGTGTCATCATCGAACGTTCCTCTCGCTTTCGGCCCTCGGGCTACGGGGGTTTATGTGTACGTTATACCTACCCAATATAATATAATAACGTTAATTTCTTTAACGCGCCGCCGGTACCGACAGCGACACTGGAAAACGTGTGACGGGCCGGAGTTCTTCCGGTGTTTCTTGACGAGCGATGGAACGGAAGTGAAGAGGAACGAATATTCGGGTTCGGGACACGCCACCGTGGCAATAAATCACCGTGCGCGGATATACAACACAGTACATATATGATAATATTATATATCGTATATTATTATGTGTGAATTACTGGTAATTAAATCAATCATCGTAGCACTCACGCGCGCACGCGCACGTCGCCGGAAAGCTTACTTGAACTGGTTTCGCGTCGTGTGCCGTGTGCGCCCAATACCCCATTCATTCTAGTTCAAAACCCGACGGCGGACGGTACACACACGCACACCGCGTAAATAGTTACGGCGCGCCGCTAACAGTCCGCGACGGTGCGATTTTAGTTTTAAGCTCGTAAAAAAACAATACACACGCGTGCGCGGGCGTGCAATATTACGTGCATGCATCACGTTAAATTTTATACAAAGGAAAATAAACGCACGTGACAACGGGTCCGCCGCAAAAATCTCCTCGTTTACGGTCAACGTTTTATCATATCGGTTTTTAAAAATAATGTGAACACACATCTTCGTCGTTCATTCGATTTGCGTGTATTGTTTTTTTTTTTTTTTTATATATGTTTGTTTTTTAAATAGGTCTGCGGGTGTTTTTTGTTTCTTATCAGACCTCCCGAGTCGGCTTTTGTTTTTGAAATTTAAATTACCTTTTTTTATCGCTCGCGCAATAAAAATTTACGGTGTGCGTTCGAAAAACAATGCGCGCACCTCTGGGACCAGGAAATTCCATTTGAAACGTCATTGCCGTTCTATCTTTGGAAACTAACGAATTCCGACCGTGCCTTACCTATTTACCTACGATCGCCTATTATAGGTACCTCTACTCATCAATACTTCACACGGCATTATCCTGTGAGTAGACATTATCCTTGCTGTACATAATCAAATGGTTTGTTAATAAACAAATGCACATTAAACTTAAATAGTCTATACATTTTATTTATATTTAATTACAATGTTGCTCGCAGCATGGAGCCGGCACTAGATCGAGTATCTACCGTTTCTGTCGATGTCGAACAATCGCATTGTTCACATACATATCGATAAGCACAATAATGTTAAAATATAGGTTATTTATATTATTTCCATAAATGTCAGTATTTGCACAGTTACTATAGAAGTTATATGTATGCACATAACATACAATATATGAACTACAGTGGATAATGGATAGCATTCCACTCGTAAAAATAAAATATGCAATGATGTGATACGCGACCCCGTTTTAAAATTTTAGTAAAGAAGACATCATAAGATATTATACGGGGGTATCGTTAGAGTAGATGTTGAAGGTACCTAATGAAACATTATGACTGTTATGAGTTATGACCGATCTTGAATGTTTCGAAAACAGTAATACATTATACCTATATTAAGTATACAAAATTTATTAACCATTTAATTGTGTCCATCAAGTTTTAGAGTTGATAATGAGTACTTATAAATTATTATGGTTATATTAACATACTCATGTATATTCCATTATTCCAACTACTTTAATGTCTATATTTTATACCATTTATCTACTCGTAGGTAGTATTCGTTTAATATTTATAAATTAAAAAAAATTTAAGAATTATAAAATAATTTTTGGTTTTGATTTATTCATTTTTTAATACATAAAATTAGAAAAACGTTCATCGTTTATCCTACATTTAACGGTAGTCAAATAAACACAAAATACGAACAAACATTTACATTAATTTTGGACAGGCTGAATGTACATGTAATGTATTGGTATCTTAAATACTTTGATATATGTAGTTGTTTTACATAGTGATTACAAGTGTAATAAGCATAATAATTAATAACGAATCAATGCACATTTCGAGTAAATTTTACTGATGAATGTTATATTTTTGTTTACATATTTATCTACATATATATTTATATTTATAATTTATAACACGAGTTAATACGTTGGAACAAATTATTAGTAATTTTAGATTTCTATTATTTTATTTTTTACCTTATTTATGTTATTTAAAAAAAAAAACAATTCAAAATGTGATGCTTATAAGTATTTAATTATGTATAAAAAACGTAAGCCGGTCATGTTAATGGATGAATTGAATTTTAAACAGTCTAATCAACTCGGGTATGGAATAATAAATTTATATGAAAACATCAATGACATAGTGATGTACGTTATGGACATAATATATATATATACAGTATAAAATTATAAATTTATATATTCAGCTATTTGTAATTTACGTGCATAACGAAGTATTAAAAATAAAAATAACCTTAATGTTTATAATAATTTTTAAATGCTAAAACAATTTAAGGAATCAGGTTCATTAAAAATAATTAACTTCAAAAAGTTTATGAAATTAAAAAAATTAAGACATAGTTATTACTCTTATAACCATTAAAAATTCTAAAATTTACAATTAATGTTATTATACGATTATGTATATTGAATAAATTATCACCAAAATAAGAGTTTTATTCGTTTTGAATTTTGGTATAAAATAAATTGAAATTCAGCGAAACCGACATTTAGAATTTAAAAGACAAAATTTACCTCTCTTTTAAAAGTATAATTTATTTCTAGATTGAAAAATGTGTCATTCATTATAACTTATAAGTGAAACGCTAAAATCGTTTTTCTTTATGCGTTAGATCTATTTTATGTTAAATCGTAAAAAATATGTAATAATTTTGTGACTACAAATTTTATAAAGATCGGAAATATTATAATTTTCATATTAAATTAAAGTAGATCTGGGTCCGTGGCTTTAGCTGCGACATACTGCTTTTAAACTAATTTAAAAAATATTATTACAGAAAATTAACTCATATTATTGTAATCAATTAATAACACTTAAAACTTAAAGTTATAGTCTAACTTCTTAAATAATTGAAAAGATTTATTTGCAGATAATATGCATTTTACAGTCCCTAAAATAATCTGTCTATAAACGATTTTTAACCGCAATTGATGTGCGTATAAGAAATACCATTATATAAATAGCTTTCAAAATTGATATTTTCAAAACGCTTATTTTACATTGTAATTTATATGTAATGAAGATCATAAATACAAAAGCTCTAAAGATGGATGTGTTATTGGTACCTACGTTATATAAAGTTAAATTATTAAAAATACTACATGTTGTGTTCGTTTTGGTAAACATAATATATTAATATGTATACCTGTATCACCATTGTTAAAGTACACGAAACATAAAAAAATAAGTATAAAAATTTACGAGGTAATGAATCTTTTAATATTATTAAAGCAAAATGTAAAATATATATATATTAATACTTTAATATTAATAGTTTTATTTGTTAATTTTAAATATATATTTGGTTAAATGAATATTGTCAAGAAATATGTAATGCACAAACTTGAAGTTCAAGGATTTCGGAAGTATCTAATTATTTATGTAATGGCTTAGAGTTAATATAGTTTCAACGGCGCTTTAATAAATTACACCAACATCTAGGTAGAGAAATAATAACATATTTACATATAGAGTATATATGAATATCTATATATAAAATTATATAGCTGGATAGGTTAGCTTAATAGATTCACTTACCAAAGGACCTCGTGAATCAGTTAAACTAAACACACACACGCTCAATTATATTAACCAACTGATTCGTTTGTGCTATTATTGTTTTACACGCACAAGTAATAAATTTGTTTTTGATTCTGGTGTTTAATGATTATCAAATTAAAAATAGTGAATGAAATAAAAATAAAATAGATTTATCAAATATTATTTTACGACTTTTTTATTTATTATAGTTTATCCTATTTATATATTTGTTTATATAAAACTAAATCATTGTGTATCTCCTAAGAATATAATATTCAAATTTTTAAAAACTAAAATACATTTCAACGAAAATATTTAGTTCACTAAACTTAATAATCAATAATATTTAAATATATATTATCATTTATTTTTTAAATGTCATCAATGTAAGTGTCAATCTCGATATTTCTGGGTGACCTTGATATTTTTATCAACAAATTATTTATTTTTAATTTAATAGTAGTGTCTTAACAACCAATTGAAACGATAATATTAATTTATTTTATTGAATAAAGAGCTTGACCCAAAGTACAGTAATCTGTAAGTAATTAACACACGTAAGTGACAAGTTTGTAGAAGTGTAACGAAACCAGGTAAGTTTAAGCGGTAAAAAAGATGAATGGACATTAGTAAAGCACATCATTTAGTGAATTGAATTATTTAAACTATAATTAATGACACACAAAAAGGGTAGTAGAGCGGGTCAGACATGGAGTGACTCGAAAGTTGACGAGAAAAAGCAGAGTGTAAAGGTGCGTTGGTAGGACTATCTGAGATTTTAGAGGAACTTCAAATTGATTTCAACTCTTCTGTCGGCTACCATTAATAGACCAAGTTCGAAAATAATGGGAAGTAGTTTTGCAACGGGTGGGGAATGTTCAACATATGGTCGACATAGGATAGAAAGTGTCATCAGACTAGTTGATTATTGCATAATCAGAAGCTGCTTACAAGACTGAACCGTACTAAAATAGGGGTTTCACCAATGAACAAAAGAAAGATTTCACCGGAGAAGCTTAAAGTCGGACGTTATTCGCTTTACAAACCTTACTTAGTGTCTTTTATACCTTACAACTTATTGATAAAATGTGAAAATGAAAAAAAAGTGAACCGTGGATAAAAAGACAACATAATATTACGTTGACATATGTTAAGACATAATGATAATATTGTCACTAATATCACCAATTTTGTTCAAATAATTTAAAAAATCATACTCATATGAATTTAACTCATAATTATTAAGTAAAATTTAAAATATGAGTTTTTGATAGCAATAGCATAAAATAAAGATAAAAAGTAGTTTTTTTTGTATGGTATTTATCGTGAACTTTAGTAAAAACCAAAAATAATTAATTAACGTAAATTGGGAATAATTGTTACAACATTGTAAAATACACTTAAATATTTAACACAAATTATTAAGATATATATATATACCACTTATTTGTTATTACATTTGAGACGATTTAATATGGAATTCAATATATATATCCATATATGTATATTTAATATTTGTAAGAAATACATTTTTTTAGACTATAATCTATATATTGAATTTATTGTAAAAGGACAATAATAATAAAATCACTGTTCATAAGTGCCCGATTGAATCTTTTTATGTATATGCTGATTAATAATTAAAAAAACAATTCACAAACAGGAAATACAATTCTACAAGTATTTATATTTAACATTAAAATACGACGAATATTCCGTTAATCGAATTCGAAAAATGTAATAGTAAAAATACTAATAATAAGTACCCATTTTATCTTTTTTTTTTTTCAGTGACTTAAACGATGGGAGACAAATCTCGCAAGAATAGTGTCACTCAGGACGTGGAGGCTGCTAATGGAACAACAGAACAACAACAACAGGTGGAGGCCGTGGCCAAAGCCGTGCACGGCCACCCCGTATCTGAACATCCGACTACGTGAGCATTATTTTCTTAGTTATAGAAGAGTATATTATTATCATATGGTTAATTACTAATAAAATATCAGTTGAAAAAATTATAAATTTATTTATTTTTTTTTTTAAATTTATCACCGGAAAAATAATTTAATTCTACTTGCAGGTATTGCGAGACGCTTATGCATCTCTTAAAAGGGAACATCGGTTGTGGTATGTTGGCCATGGGAGATGCATTTCGCAACGGAGGCCTCTTGATGGCGCCAATTCTCACAATTTTTATTGGAACCGTGTGCATTTACAACAATCACATACTGGTAGGCCGATTTACAGAAATAAAGTACAATAATTAATGCGAACTTACGTTTGTATTGGATTGTTATTGATTACTGAAAATAAAATATTTATTAGATACGTATAATATCATGTATTTTTAGACCTATTTAAAATTTGGTCAAAACCATCCAAGTTAATGTGTTAAAAATATGTATACTGTATAGATAGCTTACCTATATACATTTAACGGAATCGAAGAATCAACGGGCATTTAGTTTGTTACGAGCAACGCCATGCAGGATCAGCTAGTTAATAGTTTATTATAAAATTATTCATTATAATCATTACAGTATTTTTTAAATTATTGTTTTCTAAAATATGCCATTTGTATGATTAATAGCTATTAATTATTCAAAGTTTAATCACCCTCACACTCGCCGAATTATATATCATATATGTGTAAATGTGTTGTTGATGCAACGCAATATGGACCATAATAGAATATCCGCCTACCCCCTTTGGCAATAGCTATAAACTTAAACAATACTATTTAACACCACTGTAAAACCGTACAAAAATTGGTTGGCCATAAATTTTGTACCCAAAAATGATTTTGTCATTCTTTTCTTTGCCCGAATTCAACCGTAATTGAGACGTTGTTATATTTTTTAACTGTGACTAAACGTATTATATTTTATCCCACAAGGTATTTCAATAAAATAATAATGCGATCTGTGTGGCTTTGTGTATATAATAATGATATACGTATTTTTATTGCAGTTAAACGTCGCCCATAAACTGAAGAGCCGACTGAAACTCGAACACTGTCCGACATTTTCGGAGACTGTTGAACTGTCCTTCGCAACTGGACCCAAGAGCTTGCAGAAGCACGCAGACCTGTTCAGGTATGCGGGTAGTGCAGCAGGCACTACTTATTGAGTTATTGTTGACCGGATAATAAAGACATACATAGGGTAGAGTGCATCATACATAATATTCATGGTAATACGCTATTTTTCAGGACCACGGTCAACGTATTTGTCATAATCACTCAATTGGGATTTTGCTGCGTGTACATATTGTTTGTATCCAACTCCATTAAACAGGTACCTATAGGCTATAACGTAAATTGTAATATACCATATCCTATATTATGTAATATTAGTAATTCAATTGTAATGCTTTATACCTACTGATTACTCAATATTGCGTTTCTGCCGGTAATATTACTATTTACTTGAATAATAACACTAGGTATACTCAACACTGTCATAAGAATAAAACAAAAAATACACATAATAAACATAATAAACAGCTATGAGAATCATTTCAGAATTTCGCACGGAATAGCTAGTCTTTTCAGAATTAAGAATTATCATTTAAATACAATTAAAATGTAAATAATTATTAGCAATTGTATTTTTCTTAATAGTTTGATACAGATTTAAACAAGAAGTAATTGGTACATCCTACGTATAAAATGCAAAAATATCGTTTATATTTTTTTCAATTTAAAATGATTAAGAAAAAATAAAATTCAGAAAATAAATTAACAGAATAAGACTAATAGAACACGAAATATTTAAATTATATTATATAGTCAATACAGATTTTATACCTTATTATCCCGATCATAAAATATTTCATTCTATTGAAGGTACCTATTTTACGAGTCAAATACTACATTTTGACTGTTATAAATTTATAATGTAGAAATATCATATGTTTGTTAAATAAGTAGATTGGTTTTAAATACTCATAACAATTAAAGTGGCAAAAACATTTAAAATATTAATAGTGGAACAAGTATGAAAATTACTTGTTAGTTGTTTACTTCATACTTATTAAAATGTATATCTAAGATTTATTTGAAAAAAAAGCCTTCCGTTCAGGCCCGGACTGGGCCACTGTGCTAACTGTTTTATAGCACGCCTCAATTTTGTAATAAAATATTTTTTTAAACGATTAATGAGCAAAAAAAAAAAAGTTTTTTTTATATTGTGTCTATGGCCATCTGGACCGCCTGCTTATTGAGAATAGTAGGCCGGTGTCCACCCAATCCGGGCCTACAGTACCGCCTTAATTTGGCTTATCTCCATTACCTATACGCTTTTAATTAGTTGATTGAGTAGAACATTTTGACTCTTTGTCTTGAATATTTTTCTTAAATTATATATCAGTAATAATTTTTTTCTCAAGTTTTGCGACGAATACGGAACCGTGCTGGACATCCATATCCACATGATATTCGCTTTGGTGCCCATAATGTCATGCGCCATGATCAGAAATTTAAAATTCATCGCACCCTTGTCAACGGCCGCCAACATATCGATGGCCATTGGACTAGGAATCATTCTTTCATACTGTCTAGTCGACTTACCGACTCTCAATTCCAGAACAGCTGTGGCTCATTGGTCACAAATACCCCTGTTTTTCGGCACGGCCATTTATGCTTTCGAAGGCATCAGTCTAGTAAGTGTCCGCCGTCTAAATAACACAATCCATTAAGTTGATGATGTCGCCAGGTCTGGCTATTTTTTAATTTTAATAAACTAATAAACAATGTTTTTTATTTTTTTTTTAGGTATTGCCCCTGCAATTGGAAATGAAAACACCCAATAGATTTGCGTCTACCATGGGAGTGTTGAACGTTGGTATGACTATTGTGACATTTATCATATTAACCATGGGCTTTGTGGGATTCTGGCGGTTCGGCGACGACGTCAAAGGCAGTCTCACGCTTAACCTCCCACCTACTCTCATGTAAAAATAAAAACAACATTTACGTTTTACATATTTATACATTATAGATGTCGTGGCTTTTAATATCTACCTATGAAATACACATTTTTTTCAGCCTTTCAAAAATTGTAGTCGGTCTAATGGTATTTGCAATCATCTGCACATACACATTGCAGTTTTATGTGCCAGTCGCTATCTTATGGCCGTCGGTACAAGAAAAATACGGACCGTTCCAATCACCCGCCCTCGCCGAATACCTCTTGCGCGCCGCATTAGTATTTGCTACATGTAAATTATCATTATATAATAGATTGTCATTATATCACGATTTTACAGCTATATCATGTATGAATTTTGTGTTTGGCTACAGTTTTAGCGGCAGAAGTGATACCTCATCTAGCATTGTTCATATCGTTGGTTGGAGCCATAGCCAGCACATTCTTGGCTCTAATATTCCCGCCCATATGCCATATGGTTGTCTGGAAAGACGAAGGATTTGGAGCATTTAATTGGAAACTCCACATGGACATAATTACCATAGTCTTAGGCCTGTTAGGATTCGTAACTGGTACATACTTTAGTTTACACGACATTATTGTTGCGTTTAGCAAAGATTTTGGTTTTCATTGATCAAAATGGATGCAAATCTCAATCACCTAATAGACTTAGTAAATGCACTGTTATATTTTTAAATATTTTATTATTATGATCTATATATATTATATTGTTGAGTTAAGTATATAATATATATTTAAAAGCTAGGAATTCACATTATAATGCTCCACCAAATTTAGATAAAAGACTTATAATTTGTTTGTAAATTATTTCTGTTTATTGTCAAATAAAATAAATTAATAAGTTTTTATTTATTCTAAACAAGAAGTCATTTAATATGTGCTATAATCCTGTAATAGCCATTAATATTTATCCAATATCATATAATGGAATATTAATTTATTTTTGTTTTCTTTGTCTTTTTGGCTGCATTTTTTGGCGCTGTCATTTGTTGTACTTTTTGCGGTATCTCGGTGAATATGATTGTACCAATAAACACTAAAAGAGTTCCAATCCAATGGTACAAAGTAAATGGATTATTAAAGTACAATATACTAAACAATAAACTGGCAAACTTTCGCAATGTTATAACCAACGTAACTGTCAATGACGAACATTCAGTTGTTAAAAAGTAAACTGAACTTATGCACAAATATCTATAAAAATTTAGTTAAGGAAAAATTCAAACAAAATATGTTAAATATATGTAAATTATTTTGATATATAAATAAGTTATACATGCTTTATTTTATAAATATTTACTGTGTCCAAATTTAATCCATAAAAATATTCTACATTCAAATATTTCTTTCTATAATATCTATTAATATTTAAACATTTTTCCAATATTTATTAAACACACATTATTGTAAAATAATATATTCATTGTTCCACTCAGAATCTAAAATTCAGGAGAAAAAGCATTCAATAAAAACAATTTTCTTATTTTGTTATAATCTATTTACCTTAGATATTTAAAATATTTACCATATTATGTTGACAATATTTACATTAATAATTTTTAAAACATGTACACTTATTAAACTATAATTAGATATTTAAAATGTTCTATTTTTAGAGCGAATCAATGAATATATTGATTTAAGATAATCTGTGTTTCTTGGGTTAGTAAAAATGCTTCATTTAAAATAAAATTTTCTTAAGTACTTTATATTATAACAAAAAAATTTAAAGAATAGATAGATAATTTTTTCAAAAGACATTTTTATAGAAAATTTAAACTTGGGCAAAATTAGATAAGAAGAATTTTAATTTTAATAATTTTTTGGTATTTTAAAAATACTATTCATCAGTATTTGAAATTTTTAACGTATATACATTATTACATTGTATACAATATACAATATTTTCAAATGTAGTGTTTTGAGTATTTAAAATTAATTCAACCTATTATATTACTAATAGTAAAATAAATTACTCTAATAAAAATATAAATATAATATAAAACATACCTACTTAACAATATAGATTGCCTTTTGTCAGAATCGTTTAACACATGCAATGATTTATCATTAAATTCAAATTTAAGAGACTTATAACTGTGACTTATTCTCCAATGGAAAAGTACATTGAACACCTACTGCATAGCAGATCAGTTACCTATTTTTCTCATTTAAAAAAAGAAAAATGTAAGTTGGTATTTTTTTTTATGTACCATATCCCACCGTATTCAATATACGAATGAACTATTACAAAAACAAATTATCACATCAAAAAAAGAATACAATTATCAAAATACTAAAACATTATTAAAGGATACTGAGTAAAAACATTTCCAGCAAGATAAATAATGGTACTTGGTATACCAAATCCTATGTATGGCAATGGTTCACTTTCAAAGGCCATTAGTGCGTGTTCCTTTAGATTAGAGTACAAAAACAGGAACCATGGAAGTGGTATCAAATGCTAAAATTTAACAAATTTATATTATTTACAATTGTACATAATAATTTAAGATATAGATACTAGCAATTGATGAAAATACTATAAAGATAAAACAATAAAACATAAAATATTAATTTTTACGTGCAATGTATTTATACATAATAATATGATGAATAAGAATTTATAGTTTAAAAAAATGCTTTGTATAAACTATATTTTGAATTTTTTGAATTGATGAAGATAATAGATAATTAAATTGTTTATGAATTTTTTGCAATTTTAATATTACAATAAACAAGTGGAATTAGATTAAAATAGTAAAAGTTATTTATTATAAAACAATAACTTAAACTGTTACTACTAAAACTAAACATTGTGTTGTTTAATTAAGTAATCTGATTACATTAATGCAAAAAAGAGATATAATTCTAATCAGCTGCTGATTTCATAAAAGCAAAAATATTTAACATTCAAGCATAAAAATGTCTTACAAAATTTACAACTCATTCTAAACACCAATTAATTCAATCAGTTAATGATCTATTGAGTGATACTCACTAAATAATAATTAATGAATAAGAATGCTTTTACCGTGACTTGTGAAAAAAATACTTTTGTATTACAGACAACAATAATAATTGTTCAATGCTTCAATACATTTATAAAATGCCACTAGAAGATAAAAATACTAGTTTTAAAACTTAAAAGTATAATAATGGTGGATAGTAAAAATGTTAATTTAGATGCATTCTAGTTTCATCTTATTATTCTATTATTCTTAATTTTTCAAATTTTTATTTTTGTTAGAAACAATTAATTTTAAATTGCATTGAAAACTATCAAACCAATTTTAACCTTACAAGTATATTAAGATGTTTTCTTTATTATAGTATATTTTTCAAAGTAATATTATTTAATCAAAGTATATTTTATTTATTATGATTAAATACTTACAGTATAAAATAAAGCTTCTTGTGGATGTTTACCATGCTGTTTATATAATGTTTCTTGGTATATACCCATGCGAGCAGAAATAAATAATGCAATAGTTAAACACGCGATTCCTAAAATATAATATTTAAAATGATTTCATTATTTTTGTTAATTTTTTAAACACATTTAAAAATAGGGTTAATAATTTTTGAAACCAAGGATTATATTATAGAGTTTAATAAATTACATACCTAAGCACCACCAAAAGAAGTCTTCTAACTCTGATGTGTTTTGAACAACACCGTGTACAACAGTTTTTTTCTATTTACAAAAAATTTTTAAAATTGATAGTATTTATTTAGCAATTAAGTATTAAGCAGCACTTATGACATCTTGACCAGATACAATTGTACATATTGTAATACCGGCAGTGATCATGCCCACAGAAATAAATTTGTCAAGTGTATACTTTTTCTTTAATATAATCACTCCCATAATCATATTTGCTATTAATGAGCCCTGAAAAATAAAGGTTTTGATTATCTATTTGATAATATACAAACAGATAATCTAATATTCTTAATAGAATAAGCTTGTGAATTATTGATTAAAATATACAGTATTAAATAATTAAACAATAAAAATAAGTAAAAACTATCTGAATCACCCAATTTCACATGGAACAGTTTTGGATGAGACGTGGTTTTAAACGGATTCTTATCTTATTAAATCATTTAAAGCCTAGCCATGGTTGGATAATCTTAGTTTATAATTTTTAGTTATAAAGTAAATAAAAAACAAAAAAAGAAACAAATAAACAACTATACTTTAATAAAACTAGAGAAAAGAATTAAATATTGTTCATTTCATGTGGTTTAACAGGGATATCTCAGACAAATGAAATACAGGGAACAATATTGATAACATTTGAAAAAAAGGGAGGAACAATAAGTGGAATGAGTGATTCAAAATGTGCATTCATCATAAGATTAGTCACTTATATGAAATATTGACTTCCTAAGTATTCATCCAGCTGTAAAATCACATTGTTATTTATTTACTACACTTAACGATACAGGTATGTTTCCTAACTGGTGTACATTTTATAGTTGGTGACAGTGGCGTGGAGAGATATGTGAGTATGGTATTCAGTATAATTTCTGTAAATATCATCACACAGCATTATGTAATACAGATTAAACTATTATAAATTTTTAAAAATGTGCTATTTAACACTTGCCCATAATTGAGGTGCATGTGAGACAGTATTATACAAGAAATATGCCAATGAATTAAAAAAAGCACAAATTACCTCCCATTATATGCACAACACAGTACCACGAGAGCACAAACATAAATAAGCTACTCATGTGTTTTCAAATTAAAAAAAAAAAATTAGAAAAAAAAATGTATTTATTTTTGGCACAGTATGGCAACAGAAAGATAATGTTTGTAAATTAAGTGTGTGCGTTTAAGCCAATGGTATTTTTTATGTGTTTTAATAATCCACTTAAATACAACATTTTTAAAAATCCTTTCATATTGAACACATTAGTTTTAGAGGAATCATTATTAAGTTGATACATTTTCTAGTTTTTGAGAAGTAGTGATGGATGTGGAAGTGGTATTTGAGATTTATATTGTAGAAATAAAAGTTTTAAGTATTTGTACATAAAAAATAATTTTATCGTTGTTAAAATTATTTATTACTATCTTGAATCTTTATATATTTGGTGCTAATGATGATGATGTAATATTTATTAAACTCCATTATAACAATAAACAAACATTTTTTTTTTTTTTTTTAATGATGCAGTTCTTTTAAATTGAATTTCAATTTAAAAATTTTTGAAATTGCAATAAATTTAGTATTATTTAACATACTGTATTAACTAATAAGCACCATTATACCTATAATAATTAATATAAAAATTTTTGATCTTTGGTTACATGAAAAGGTCATATAAAAATTGATAAAGTTTGCTAAAAAAAAAAAAAAAAAAACATACCGCTCTGAAGATCATATGTAACGGCATGGCAATGTTCAAATCAAAAGCATAATTGTTTAAAACATTAGTTATAAAAAACATTGCTACTAAAATCATGTATCCTCTGAAAAACAATTTAAAATTTATAAAAATTAAATATTTAAATAAAAAACTATATATAATTAATTCAATAGAGTTGACATATTTTTTAATGTATTAGATAACTACTTTTTGTTTTTTTAATAATTTGTTTTTATTGTTTTAGACAGCATAACAAAATAAATTAACAAAGATAAAAATATTTTACTAGTAGTACAGAATATATTAAGAGAATGTAGCATCATTAAATTTACAATTAAAAAAAAATGATTTAAAATATGTATTTAATATTTAGAGAACAGATAGAAAAATGAATTGATATTGTAAATTAATAATCAAATTAAAAATGTTTAAAAGCAAATAGTCATGCATAGTATATTATACTCATTCTTCAGTATTTAAATACTATATACTTATATTGCTATAACTATAAAACAAAACTAATAGAAAAATAGAATACTTAAAATATATTTACACAAAAATATAATACAAAAAATAACATTTTTGAACTTTACACTCATAAAAAAATATTTTACCATACTTATAATTGTTTTAAATATCAATGAATACATACTTGACACTAATGCTTGGTTTTTTGGTACCACATTTAGCTGTAAATATAAAGCCATGAAGTGCTATTAAAAAAAATTGGGAAAACGTAATCAAATTTCCTATGCCAGGATCTTCTCTAAAATTTAAAATGTACACATTTTACTAAATATTGTGTAGATAATATTATTAAATTAATACATACTTGACTAAAAGTTCCAAAAAAACGACATTGCTCATACATCCAAAAAATGTAGACCCAATTGCTACAGGTATACTCATTTTACAAAAAATATATTAAAATCTTTCAATTTTTTTTAAAGATAAATTATGTAAACCTGTAGGCTCAATTATTATATTGAATTGTATTAATTTCTTATCCTCACGCCAAAATTGTTAAACCGGCCAAAATAAATAAGAATTAAGACATTTAAAGTTTAAAAAAATTAAGTTAGTCTTGCAAAAATACGATAATAAATAAAATTGAAAAGTAAATACTAGTAAGCTACACGGTTATGGTCTACGAGTAATAAACAGTAATTACGTAAATGATTATACATCGGCCGTTTCATGGTCATTTATATTTAGGAACTTACACAGCTGATGGTATAACACTTAAATTTATAGTCGTGTACGTAATCAAACGTCCTATGACAAGTAAAACTAAAAAAATTAAGACGGAAAAAATCTTTTTACGTAAATGTAAATATGAAATACACTAAAATTGATACTGAACCTTGTCAGATAATGAAAACAGTTATCACTATTCACTACATAGATAATACCACGGTCTTAGAAGATATTCTAAGGCCGTGGATAATACATATTATGTGTTATCTATGATTCACTCAGTAATCACCATGAACTGGTAATCACTCGTACTGTCGATTGATAAAGTTCTAAGCACGGCTTGTCGTTGATATGCATCGAGAGCAAAATTCAGCGACCAATCAAAAACATCTGACCTAACATTATTTCTTATCAGAAATTACCCGCGCATATTAGAAATTAGAATTTAAAATAAAATATTGTCGTCGTATCAGCCATATATTTCTTTTTCTTTTCTTTTCAATTTCGTCTTTTGTGTTTATTCATTGCCTTTAATTTTATAAATCTTATAAAATATAATGTCTTCGTTTTTGTTTAGGTGCAATATGTCTTAAACGCAAAAGAAGTTTTTGGGTACCATCGCAGTTTACTAGCACATGGCAAGATGTGCGACGCTATTGTTCAAAATAAAAATAAAAGAATAATTAAATTTACAGACAGTAAGAGTCAGAGGACAATATTATTCGCCGGATATGCGTGGTTAAGAAATCATGTTTGAGAGTACTACAATAATGTTCTAAGTATAGAATATATTTGTTTTAAAACTCTAAATAGTTGATATGATAGCATTTAAAATTTATTTTTTTAAATGTTTAGCTTAAATATTGGCAAACCACTGCCTGAAATATATATAGGTACAAATAGAAAAATACATAGTCTATACTTTAGTCATTGATTTTCAATTAAATTCTACATAGTGCTTTTTCTATTGCGTAGGTAGTCCGCATAAATTAATATCTCCATGATTTTTATAGGTAAAAAATTGTCTTAGAAATCTGGTGTTTATATTACAGAAGATATATTAAATAACGAGTCTGTTAAATAAAAGTTCCCCTTTATTATAATATTGATCATCATTTATGGAGATTTTATATTATTCTAACAATCTATTTTGTAGATATAGTTTATAGCATGAAAATAATTCTTTAATTAAGCTGCTGTTTAATTGTCTTGATACTATAAAATATGTAGTCTATAAGATACACCGACAGCCGACAGCCGACAGGTAATCATAATTCATAAATCATAAGGCACCGTGAAGTTTAATGAATACGCTAGTTAGATATATAATGTAGTAATACATTGTATATAATATATGCTTTCTTGTTTACCTAATGTTATTAATATATATAAATATATTACATTTTTATCATAAAGCTGTAGGTATGTTATAAAACTATTAACAATCTATAAATTTTAATAAATGCTTATAAGCAGTTACTTAACTCAAGACTTATAACACTTAAAATCATTAAAATAAGCGCTTAAAAACATCATTATATACACTCAAATAAGTATTTAAAAAACCTAAATTTGAGTAAAAATATTATTTAATAAAAAAAAAAAACTTTTATTTAACTTGATAAAGTAGGTACAAGACATAATTTGTAACTGTACTAAAAATAATATAATTAATTAATAAAAATTACAAAAAATATCGAAAAAATTTTTTAGGAATAGTTTCTAAATAAAAAATAAAAAAATAAATCTTTATATTATAAAAAATCAAACTTTACTTTTGAGATATTTTGTCTAATTGTTTATTCTATCATAAACACCATTGCAGGAAAAAACCATAAAAAGTAGGAAAAATGGTCAAAAAAGCAAAAATAATCAGAAAAACTTGAAATAAGCATCTTTTTGAAAAATCGTTGAAAAAAGCAAAAAAAGCAATTTCAAACTTTTCATGACTAAACGTAATGTAACAACTAACATGACATACGCACTTCCATACCACTCTGTTACATTTTAAGTCAATTCATAAAAATAAGTAAATGCTTTATGTCCCGAGCTCTGGTAATAATTTATATCTTTTAAGGTACTATAATTATACTCGCCATTGATTTGAATAAATAATTGTTTCTAGTTCTATTTAATTTTGTATGATTGATAATAAAGTTGCATTATCTCATTTTTCAACTTTCGAAAATCGTCATTTTATAAGCCTATCAATATTTTTACAACATATATCAAAAATCCATGCCCTCGAAATTCGAATGCGAAAACCGTAGTTTTTTTTAGTTGAATGATCATCAATATTGTTAGTATTGTTTGATACATCGTTATCTATATTTTGAATTTTATCTTTATACCGACCACATCTCAATCGTCTTCTATTAGAAATTAAGTACTTAGTTTTTAATAAATCACTATTCGATTCCTTTTTACAATAACTTTTTTGATATTCTTTCAATATGCCTCAACAATTTTTTAATTTGGAACAACTACCAAGTTCTGGCAGTAAGTTTCTCGAAGACAATTAACATATGTTTTCCCATTAGATATCAAATGCCCGTACACATATCGCATTGATTTATTCATTATATTATTTTAATTAAAAAAATAACTAGGTTAGGTACGCATTAAGTTTTTTAGTAGGTACATACTACACGTAATTAATACCTTAAATTATTTTGAAACAATATTTAGACAAACCGACATATTAAAATTAGAAACATAAAAAATATACTTATATAATACATAATATAAAATACATATATTGATGACGGTATATGCATTGAAAGTGTAATGTATTTTAATTTTAATTTATAAAATTTATTTTCATATTGGCATTTAAATTATATTTTTATAATATTTAGTAACTATTTAAAAATATGTATTGTTTTATCGGTATGAAAAATTGAGTTAATACTAAATTAAAATACGTTTATCCAAATTAATGTGATTATACTATATTTATTTAGATAAATTAATTTTACTGCAAGTATAAAAAGTTTAAATGAATAGAGCTCAAATAAAAAATAGATTTTAATATGGATTTTAAATACAATCAACATTTTTAAATATTTATATTGTATATAAATTACAGAACTATAAATATTATTACTATAATTATTTAAACTACAATATTTAAAAATAACTTGTTTATTAAAATATCTTAATTCATTCGTTGTTTTTTATACAATATATTTTGATTTCGAGATTGTTCCATTGAATTTGATTTTCATCGAATTTTAGATGTGTTGAATCTTTTATACTATTGGATTGTATTTTTTGTAAAGGTTTGTTAAAATCTATTAAAATTTTTGAATAAATTTTCTATCAAGAAATTATAACAATAGCTTGTCATTTCGAAATCGAAACAGTTAATTGTCTTCTTGTTTAATAAATATATTCATATTTTGATTCATATCATTATGTTGACGAGATAGTTATTTTGAAGTATGATTATAAAAATTAAAGTTGAAGTCATATTTATCTTGATATTTTCAAATTATATTTTATTTTTTTACTGATTATATGTAACTGTTCAAATGTGGTATTCAGTGAAGAATTTTTATTATTAGAAGATCGAGATTCTAACTTTGAATCAATAATATTGGACTCATTAATATTTAATGAAGTTTTGATACAACACTTAAACATTCTGAAGAAGTATATGATTTTTTAGCAATTATTGATAATCTTTTTTTAATTTAATTTTGAAAACTTTTCATGTTTATATTATATGCTCAGGATCATTAACATTATTTAAATCTAAAATAAAAGACGTTGAAACGATATTGAATCTACTATCATCTGATAAATCCAGCATCTGGATTAATGGTCAAATCAACAAACTTCCAGTATTTTTTTACTTTAGATTTTAATAATGTTAGTGACAATGAATACAGTAATTTTTTCATAGGAATTAATAAATTACATTTATTCAACATATTTTATACTTTTTCTTTTGGTTTTTTAGTTTTTACATTTTTTGATTTAATCATAGGAGAACTTTGTATTTTTTTTAAAATCATTTTGGAAGAGCTAGTTCTTGGCGTATTTTTTTTCCGAAACTGAATATATTTTATTTGAGGCTTATGGTTTCTTTAAAATTCCTTTATCTGAACTCTTTGTTATAAATGAAATTTTATTAAATATTTGTTTTGGTTTTTGTTTTAGAGCTGCAATTGAATTTAAACTCATACTTGAGTTAAGTATAATAATATGACTAGAACCTCTATCTTTTAATGCATTAGATAGCGTGATATATATTTTTTTTTGAATTTTGGTGATTCAGGAATTTTAAAAGCTGACACAGACTAAATTAAATTAATAGTAATCAGGTAACTTTTTAAACTTTGATATTATATTATTTTTTTGTATCATGAACATGAATTACAGTTACTTCTTTTGAAACGTTGAAATTTAATGAAATTAATGATTGTTCTTTTGGAATAAACACAGATTTTATTTTTCTAAAATATTATTAAAAAAAAATATAAAAACTACAATAAATCTATATAATTATTATTAATTTAAATATATTTTGTACACAATGTAATTATATTTTAATATTATACATTTATGGTAACTATGTATCTTGTTTTACTTTTCTACTTAATAAAAAATTTATTAAATTAATATATTGATGAATATTAAATAGTAATTAAATATTTTTTACTAATTTGAGTTTAAATCTATAGTTAAATAAAAATAAATAACTAAGAAAATTATTAAGGTTTTAAATTATATAATAGTTAGGTAGATCATAGAACAGTATGCATTAAATAAAATAGTGTTATCACTTAGGGTGTCAGTATAAAATAAATAGAGGTGTAAAATAAATATAGTATTTATTATTATATCTTGGAGTTGGATTTTTTTAATAATTATATTATACATAAACTTGTTTTAATTTAATTTTCTAAAACTATAGAGGAAATTGATCATAGATAAGGTACAATATTTTATTTTATGAAAAACTGATTGAAAGGAAATATATGTATTTTAATAAATAAATGTTTCATTTTTATAATATATTTAGCTATATAGGATTTTTAAATTGTAACTGTAAGTAGAAGCTAGTCTGTATTTTTAATGTATATAAATTAAATTTATATATATATAACAATTCGGGCTTTATTATCTATACCTATTATGATTAAAATTATTTATTATTTACCTATAAATTACTTTTATGATAAATGAAAACCATATTTTAAATTTTAATAAAGTTA